AGAGTTGAAGTCCACAAGTCTTAAAGTTGCCAAGTTTGTGGAGAATTCTGGGAGTTGAAGTCCACAAGTCTTAAAGTTGCCAAGTTTGTGGAGAATTCTGGGAGTTGAAGTCCACAAGTCTTAAAGTTGCCAAGTTTGGGAACCACTGATCTATTTCAACATTCATAGAATTCGGGATGCCAACCACTTGGAAAGGAACTCCTGGTCACCTCACTCACCTGATTTGTCTAAGCGTGTCAATCTTGACTCGTTCGTATCCACCATAATCCACGTATCTGATTTCCACTTCGCTGACATCTTTGAAGTAGCTAATCACTTGTGCCCGCCACCATGCGCCTTCCACACCCGGCGCAGCACAGACAACGCCAACTGCAAGGCGGAAAAATTGGGAACAATTCATGATGCAATGCAACAGCTTTTTAGAAAATAAAGAAAAGGGGTGTCTGTGTGTGTGTGTGTGTGTGTGTGTGTGTGTGTTTGCTGTAGAACAAGGATAGGGAATATTGGCCCTTTTATCACTTGTGGACTTCAACTCCCAGAATTCCTCAGCCAGCCAGGAATTCTGGGAGTTGAAGTCCACCAGTCGTAAAGGGGCCATCGTTCCCCATCTCTGCTGTAGAAGAATGGGGTCTTCCTTAAGTCCTTCCTTTGCTAACAGTCTTTCAAGTTACAGGTAGTTCTTGACTTACAACTGTAATCGAGCATGCCCATTATGATTTTAAGTCATGATGATCACAAAGTGAGTCATCCTGTGACCCACCCAATTTTACAACCTTTTTTTTGCAGTGGCCATCCAACAAATCATTATAATAGTTAAATAAATCTCTGGTCATTAAACAAACCCATTGCTTGCTATGGGGAGTATTGGCCAGAAATATGAAGCGAATGATAATTTTAGACAGTGTAAATTGCAACCCCATGATCGCAGAACAGTACAAATGGCCATAAATGTGGGCCAACTGGCAAGTAGCCAAAATCCAGTCCCATGTGCATGGGGAAGCAGATAAAACTTTAAAAGCAGGTTGTAAGTACCATTTTGAAGGGGACATTTGAAAGGTTATTAAGTGACCTAAAAGTTGCTAAGTCGTAATTCAAGGACTACCTGTAACCATTCCATAAAAGTATTCCTTTCTTTTTTCAGAAATAATCCAACCTTGCAGGTGATGAGACATTCTCTGCCCCAAATGGAACCTGGAGAGAGGTGGCCAACATTTCATCAAATGGATGCCAATGTCCATGGACTCCATTCCAACTAGCATCATTTGTTCAATGAAGCCCTTGGGCAAGTTATGGATACGATTGCCCCAAGGACATGGATCCAAGAAACTGGGACTTGTGGGTGGGAATGTTGTGAGCTGTTGCCACCGTCATTGGGAGATTAAATAATTGCTTCCTGTGTTATTGATGTAGTCTGTACTTTATATAGGTAGTCCTCGATGTACGACACACAATTGAGCCCAAAATCTATGTTGCTAAGTGAGACATTTGTTAAGTGAGTTTCGCCCCATTTTACAACCTTCCTTGCCACACTTGATAAGTGAATCACTACAGTGATTAAATTAGTAACACGCTTGTTAAGTGACGTTTGCTTCCCCAGGAAAAGGAAACAAACAAAATGTTAAAAAGTTATGATATTTTTATGATAAGAATTATGAGCCGCTGCAGCAGCGCAGTGGTTAGAGTGCAGTATTGCAGGCTACTTCGGCTGATCACCGGCTGCCTGCTCTGCTAGCGAAAACGGCTTCTGCCTGCAGTTTGGCAGATCGAATCTCACCAGGCTCAAGGTTGACTCACCCCTGCCATCCTTCCGAGGTGGGTAAAATGAGGACCCAGATTGTTGGGGGCAATATGCTGACTCTGTAAACCACTTAGAGAGGCTGTGAAGCACTACGAAGCGGGATATAAGCCTAGGTGCTACTGCTATATTTATGTAGTTACTTATCAAGCACATGTAAATTATATTAAAGTAATCAAAACATCTTTACAATCCTCAAGGCATGCGGCAACTTTTGAGCAGCCCTAATGTTTAGAATTTGAAGGTTGAAACATTTGACAATATGATTTTGCTTGTCAGCAGGTCACAAAAGGTGACCCCCCCCCCCCCAGGACACTGCAACCATTACAGATAAGAACCAGTTGCCAAGCATCCAAATGTCAATCGCATGGCCATAGTAACGGTCGTAAGTGTGAAAAATGGTCATAAATCATTTTTTCCCAGTGCTATTATAACTTCGAACAGTCACTAAATGAACTGTTGTAAGTTATGGACTATCTGTAATCTTATTTACGTAACTAGGATAGTTAAACAGGTTTGCCAGAACTGGTGGGTATATAAACCCTAAGGAAGAAATGAATAAAATGAACAAACAGCATCTATGACTGGTTTCAGTGTCCCAGTCGTGTCACCATGATTTGTGACACTTTTTTTGCTAGCTTCCAGTGTCTGAGAATAAAAATATCCATTTGGGAGAATGGATTTAGACATATTGCAATGCGATTCACTTAACTACCACACTAAAAACGGTAATAAAATTGGATCCCTTCGTGTGGATGCCTCGACTGATAACCAAAATTTTGGATCCAATTGCGATAAGTCAAGGACTACCTATAAAAATATAAAAAAATCACCACAGGTGACTTACTCTCCAATTTAGCAGTATTTCGGTAATAATGAACATCTTCACAAGATTTTCACTGTTGTCCTAAAATTGCTTAACTGCAGAAAGAGTGATTATTTCTTTTTAACGGTACTACTTACACCACCCTACAGCTTCTCATGTTTTTTCCCTCTGCACCAATACTGGAAGATGCTCAGTTTCAGGCAGCAACTCACTGCACTGACTAGAACTCACAGTCTCCTGGTGATTGGCCTAAAGTCACCCAGCTGGCTTTCATAACTAAGGTGGGACTAGAACTCATAGT